TATTGCCACCACCAGCAGCATGGAGTATACCCACCCTGGATTGTAAATTTGTCTTTCTATCCCCAGATTAGGGTCTTCCTGAGCACAGGATTGTATATTTCATGCCTTGGTGTTTTTCCACCCTTCATGAATTTCCTGGAACATTAGTTCAGTTCAGTTCAGTCGCTCAGTCGTGTCCGACTCTGCGACCCCATGAATAGCAGCACGCCAGCCCTCCCTGTCCATCACAGACTCCCGGAGTTTACTCAAACTCATGCCCATCGAGTCGGTGACGCCATCCAGCCATCTCATCCTCTGTCATCTCCTTCTCCTCCCGCCCCCAATCCCTCCCAGCATCAGGGTCTTTTCCAATGAGTCAACTCTTCACATGAGGTGGCCAAAGTACTGGAGTTTCAGCTTCAACATCAGTCCTTCCAATGAACACCTAGGACTGATCTCCTTCAGGATGGACTGGGTGGATCTCCTTGCAGTCCAAGGGACTCTCAAGAGTCTTCTCCAACACCACAGTTCAAAAGCATCAATTTTTCGGTGTTCAGCTTTCTTCACAGTCCAACTCTCACATCCATACATGACCACTGGAAAAACCATAACCTTGACCAGACAGACCTTTGTTGGCAAAGTAATGTCTCTGCTTTTTAATATGCTGTCTAGGTTGGTCATAACTTTCCTTCCAAGGAGCGAGTGTCTTTTAATTTCATGGCTGCAGTCACCATCTGAAGTGATTTTGGAGCCCAAAAAAATAAAGTCTGACACTGTTTCCACTGTCTCCCCATCTATTTCCCATGAGGTGATGGGACCAGATGCTTGCTGGAATTGAAGGTGGGTGGCTGGAGATGAATCTGAGCAGTTCCATAGGATAAGATCTGCCAACAGTGTGCAGGGACAGTATGGTCTAAGTTGTAGTCTTGTTTGAAATGATGAAGGTAGATAAATCCACGAACCTATGGTCACCTTATCTTTGACAAAGGAGGCAAGGATATACAATGGAAAAAAGACAACCTCTTTAACAAGTGGTGCTGGGAAAACTGGTCAACCACCTGTAAAAGAATGAAACTAGAACACTTTCTAACACCATACACAAAAATAAACTCAAAATGGATTAAAGATCTAAATGTAAGACCAGAAACTATAAAACTCCTAGAGGAGAACATAGGCAAAACACTCTCTGACATAAATCACAGCAGGATCCTCTATGACCCACATCCCAGAATTTTAGAAATAAAAGCAAAAATAAACAAATGGGACCTAATGAAACTTAAAAGCTTTTGCACAACAAAGGAAACTCTAAGCAAGGTGAAAAGACAGCCCTCAGATTGGGAGAAAATAATAGCAAACGAAGCAACAGACAAAGGATTAATCTCAAAAATATACAAGCAACTCCTCCAGCTCAACTCCAGAAAAATAAATGACCCAATCAAAAAATGGGCCAAAGAACTGAACAGACATTTCTCCAAGGAAGACATACAGATGGCTAACAAACACATGAAAAGATGCTCAACATCACTCATTATCAGAGAAATGCAAATCAAAACCACAATGAGGTACCATTACACACCAGTCAGGATGGCTGCTATCCAAAAGTCTACAAGCAATAAATGCTGGAGAGGGTGTGGAGAAAAGGGAACCCTCTTACACTGTTGGTGGGAATGCAAATTAGTACAGCCACTATGGAAAACAGTGTGGAGATTTCTTAAAAAGCTGGAAATAGAACTGCCATATGACCCAGCAATCCCACTTCTGGGCATACACACCGAGGAAACCAGATCTGAAAGAGACACGTGTACCCCAATGTTCATCGCAGCACTGTTTATAATAGCCAGGACATGGAAGCAACCTAGATGCCCATCAGCAGACGAATGGATGAGGAAGCTGTGGTACATATACACCATGGAATATTACTCAGCCATTAAAAAGAATTCGTTTGAATCAGTTCTAATGAGATGGATGAAACTGGAGCCCATTATACAGAGCGAAGTAAGCCAGAAAGATAAAGACCATTACAGTATACTAACACATATATATGGAATTTAGAAAGATGGTAACGATAACCCTATATGCAAAACAGAAAAAGAGACTCCTATGTATAGAACAGACTTGTGGACTCTGGGAGAAGGCGAGGGTGGGATGTTTCAAGAGAACAGCATCGAAACACGTATATTATCTAGGGTGAAACAGATCACCAACCCAGGTTGGGTGCATGAGACAAGTGCTCGGGCCTGGTGCACTGGGAAGACCCAGAGGGATTGGGTGGAGAGGGAGGTGGGAGGGGGGACCGGGATGGGGAATACATGTAAAAAAAAAAAAAAAAAAGATACACTATGGTTGTGATAATAAATAAATAAATAAATAAATAAAAATAAAAAATAAAAAAAGATTGAAAGCATGATTATTTACATCCCTTTCCACTTTGAAATTTGAAACATGTACAGTATTTCCAACCTTCCTCTGCAACTTTGAGGGTAGAAATGAGAAGAAGAATTTCATTTTTTAAGGAAGAGATGCTCATGACAACAGTCAGCAGCTCTTGGTTATGCTGGCAAGGCAGTTATGCTCTGCTTCTTCAGTTCAAGAAACTGTTGGTGATAGTGGGATGGCAGGCACAAGATTGCTAGGGTAACATAGTATCTAGCTCAGAACGTCGTCACACTGAGGGGTAAGGAGGAAGCCCTCTGACTCCCCTTAGGCCACAGTTCTGCGTTGAACACAGTGTCTGCCGAAGGATGAAAGGCAGGAGAAGGACAGGAAGAGGAGGAGAAATGGGAGCAGGGGTTCACACTTCCTTCTCCTGTATCATGCTACAGTTAAGTAAGACTTTGAAGGAAATGGCAACCCCCTCCAGTATTCTTGCCTGGAAAATTCCATGGATGGAGGAACCTGGTAGGCTCTAGTCCATGGGGTTGCAAAGAGTCGGACACGACTGATCAACTTCACTGGTTGACTGGTTCCCTCTTTGGTGCATCAAATCCCACCATTACCTGTCTAGTGCTGTGTGGTCATCACTCTCCCTCCTAGAGATCCCTCCCGAGAGGGTTACATAACTCATAACATGACACATGAGAGTGAGCTCCGCAGAGCCTGGAGTCTTGTTAAGGTCTTTGAGTTTGATTTGCACAGGAAAGACAAATTCAGATCCCAGCTCTGACGTTCGAGGTCTGGTCTCCTTTCTCTAAGTATCTTTTGAGCATCTATTAACTGCATAAACCTGTTTTTTCTTTCCTAATATAAAGAGGCTTAATTAGCCCTTCTCTGAGGTTCCTTCTGAATACACTACCTTCCGGCACTGAGATCCCACTGCACTAGAGGCTTTATACACTTTCTGTTTGTTTTTTTTTCCCCACACGGTAACCCCATGACAGTCATATTTTCTTAATTTTTGAAGACTTTTACGTATTTATTTTTTATATTTCTGGCTGTGCCGTGTCTTCGTTGTTGCCCAGGCTTTTCTCTAGTTGTGGCAAGTAGAGGCTACTCTCAAATCTCTGTGGGTGCATGGGCTTCTCATCGTGGTAGCCCCTCTTGTTGGGAAGCACGGGCTCTGGGGCATGCGGTCTCCGTAGCTGGGGTCTGAGGGCGCTGGAGCCCAGACTCAGTAGTTGTGGCCCTTATTCTTAGTTGCTCTCAGCATGTGGGATCTGCCTGGACCAGGGATCAAACCCGTGTCCCCTGAATTGGCAGGTGGATTCTTTACCGCTAAGCCATCAGGAAAGCCCAGCAGAGGTGTCTTTATGCCGAGTTTTTGGATGTGGTGTGAAGAGTTGAGTGATAGGCCCCAGGTCACGTGACTTGAAACCCACTCTGGTCTCTGCCTCCAAAGCTTTTGCTCTTCCCGTTATACTTCTGGTGTTTGAACACCAGTCCCCTCAGGCCTGCTTGGAGGTCAACACCCCCGGCCCCATCCAGGCTTATTGACTTAGAACCCACGGAGCCATTCTGGTTTAGTCTCAAAGTTTGAGGACCATCAGTTCAGTTCAGTCGCTCAGTCATGTCTGACTCCTGCAATCTGTGGACTGCAGCATGCCAGGCCTCCCTGTCCATCACCAACTCCTGGAGCTTACTCAAACTATCGGTGATGCCATCCAACCATCTCATCCTCTGTCGTCCCCGCCTCCTCCCACCTTCAATCTTTCCCAGCATCAGGGTCTTTTCAACTGAGTCAGTTCTTCACATGATGTGGCCAAAGTATTGGAGCTTCAGCATCAGTCCTTCCAGTGAATATTCAGGACTGATTTCCTTTAGGATAGACTGGTTGGATCTCCTTGCAGTCCAAGGGACTTGGAAGAGTCAGTTCATAAGTATCAATTCTTCAGTGCTCATCTTTCTTTATAGTCCAACTCTCACATCCATACATGACTACTGGAAAAACCATGGCTTTGACTAGACAGACCTTTGTCAGCAAAGTAATGTCTCTGCTTTTTAGTATGCTGTCTAGGTTGGTCATAGCTTTTCTTCCGAGGATCATGTCATTAAACAAAAATGTACAGACGCCTACAACAACAAAAAGTCTGATACACTTTAGTCCAGATGAGCTGATGAAAGGGCTTTCCTGAGAGACCATAGCACCTGACACGTCCAGCACACTTTCTAACGGCCAGATGCTAGGCTAGGTTCTTTATGTGAGCCCGTTTCATTACAGTCAGGTTACAAAGTGAATGACTCCACATCTCCATGTTATAAAAGTGACAAGTCTGAGGTTGAGGAACTTACTGAGGCCATGTGGCTGGTAAGCAGCAAAGCCTTGAACCAGGCAGTATGATTCCACTGTCCCCACCAGCAACAACCTGTTTCTCGGGCAAGAAAAGAAGCCAAATAACACAAGACAACAAGGAAGGAGGAAGACAGGACAAAGAGCAAGAAATGAGTCTGAGAAGGAAGCCCGGGGCTACTGACTACAAATATCCTTTTATTTTAGTGTTTTCTATCAAGAGCCTTCTTGAGAAAGTTCGAAGAACCAGACACATTTACGTAATGTTTATTATGAAGCAAAATGAGGAACACAAGATTTACATTCCCAATTTCTGGTTAAAAGAAGTCCCTCTGTCATCAAGGAAGAATTCAGAATTCAGAGTATGAAGCTGGGGCCTAAGACAAGGCATCACTGTGGAAACAACCCAGACTTTTATGGAACTTCTTTGAGACGACAGGCAATGATCTGGGCGTTTCACCATGACCTCCTGCTCTAGCTCTCTGCTTTGGTTTTTCTTTTGTCTGCACTGGGTCTTTGTTGCAGCGTGTGGACTTTCCCCAGATGAGGGACATGGGCTTAGTTGCTCCATGGCATGTAGGATCTTAGTTCCTGGAGCAAGGATCGGACTCACATCCCATGCATTGGAAGATGGATTCTTAACCACTGGACTACCAGGAAAGCCCTGCATTTCTTTATCTGTAAGAAGTGTTACCAAACCCAGTCTATATGTACAGTGAGGCCAAACAAACTGAAATGTCAGAGTCTGGAGCAGAGAAAGATTTGTAACATGTCCATGCAAGGAGATAGGTGACTCATGCCCCTCGAACCCTGAACTTTCCAAAGGGTTTCAGCAAAGCACTTTTGAAGGCAAGGTGAGGGAAGGGCATGGTTATTGATGTCCAAATCCTTTGTTGTTGCAGCTGTCCATGTAGATCAGTTCAGGGTGTTTCTGTAAATTTCCAACAAAAGAAATGTTTTTCTCCATTCTGTAAATTTTTATCTCTATGTGGCTGGAAAAATGTCATCTTCTTAAAGGTCAGAGCCTTGAGAATAGGCTATCCTGTATGTTTCAGGCTATAGGTAACATTCTTTTACAAAAGGTACAGAGTCAGCATGACTAAGCACAGGTAACAGAGTACAAGCTTAGAGTAAAAAAAAGCAGTTCTATTATGGAGTCAGGTTTGTTCTTCCCTATGCCAGTAGCACATAGCAGTACCTATTCATAGAATTGCTATAAGTAGCAAACCCCACTGAATATCTGGACCTGCCTTGTGAACCATGAAACTCTTGACAAATATTCAAGGACGTGCTTATCACGGAGGAGTTTCTTTATCATACTTTATGTGCCAAGTACCCAGTGTTCACTCGGCGTTGACTAAACATGGGTAAAGAAGCTAATTCATGGTGGCAAAGCCATGGAGACCAGGCATGAAATAGGCAGAGACTGGAGATCAGCGCCTCCCTTTGTGCATGGTCCTTGTCAGTTCAGTCAGTGTCTTCTCAGTATTGCAGATGAAGACATATATAGGGTTCATATAGACATATATGAAGACCCCTAGAGGGTTGCTGCTGCTGCTGCTGCTAAGTCGCTTCAGTCGTGTCCGACTCTGGGCGACCCCATAGACAGCAGCCCACCAGGTTCCCCTGTCCCTGGGGTTTTCCAGGCAAGAATATTGGAGTGGGTTGCCATGTCCTTCTCCAATGTATGAAAGTGAAAAGTGACAGTGAAGTCACTCAGTCATGTCTGACTCATAGCGACCCCATGGACAGCAGCCTACCAGGCTCCTCTGTCCATGGGATTTTCCAGGCAAGAGTACTGGAGTGGGGTGCCATTGCCTTCCCCAACCTAGAGGGTTAGGGAGGTTAAATAAATTTCTGGACCTTGTCTGTCTTTTAAATGGCAAAAACAAAAAGCAGAAAAGCACTGGAGCATTGGCTCCAGGTGAATGTGACTTTTTTTTTTTTTAGCAAAATACAGAAGATAGGTTTCATTTTTTTTTTTTAATTTTTTTTTTCATTTTTTTTCCATTTATTTTTATTAGTTGGAGGCTAATTACTTTACAACATTGCAGTGGTTTTTGTCATACATTGAAATGAAGTAGCCATGGATTTACATGTAGAAGATAGGTTTTAGTTCAGTTCAGTTCAGTTCAGTCACTCAGTCATGTCCAACTCTTTGTGACCCCATGAACCACAGCACACCAGGCCTTCCTGTCCATCACCAACTCCCGGCGTCCACCCAAACCCATGTCCATTGAGTCGGTGATGCCATCCAACCATCTCATCCTCTGTCATCCCCTTCTCCTCCTGCCCTCAATCTTTCCCAGCACCAGGGTCTTTTCCAATGAGTCAGCTGTTCGCATCAGGTGGCCAAAGTAATTTAGTTTCAGCTTCAGCATCAGTCCTTCCAATGAACACCCAGGACTGATTTCCTTTAGGATGGACTGCTTGTATCTCCTTGCAGTCCAAGGGACTCTCAAGAGTCTTCTCCAACACCACAGTTCAAAAGCATCAATTCTTCTGTGCTCAGCTTTCTTTACAGTCCGACTCTCACGTCCATAAAAGATAGGGTAGAATCCCATTTATTATTAATTCTGGTCAGTGAAAATCATAGGACTCTCAAAATTAAAATTCACGATGGTTTGAAAATAGAAAGTCACTTAGCCTGTTTGTACTGCTCTAACAAAATCCCATAGTCTGGGTAGCTTATAACCAACAGAAATTTCTTTCTCACAGTGCTCGAGGCTATGAGTCTGAGATCAGATGCTAGCAGGGTCAGGTGAGGACCCTCTTCTGGGCCACAGATGTTTCACTGTGTCCACACATGATGGAAGGGGCTAGGGAGACCTGGGGTGGGTATGGGGGTGTTTCTTTTATAGGAGTGCTAATCCTGTCTATGGCCTCTCTTCCTGTTCTTATTTTTTTTTTCTCTTCTTCCTGTTCTTAAAAGGGCATTAGTCCCATTATGAGAGCACCAACTCACAACCCGCATGTTTGCTAAGTTGCTGCAATCATGTCTGACTCTTTGCAACCCCATGGACTGGAGCCCGCCAGTCTCCTCTCTCCATGGGATTCTCCAGGCAAGAATAGTGGAGGGGGTGGCCATGTCCTCCTCCAGGGGATCTTCCCAACCCAGGGACAAAGCCGTGTCTCTTAAGTCGCCTGCATTGGCAGGTGGGTTCTTTACCACTAGCGCCACCTGGGAAGCCTAATTACCTCCCTCTGATGCCCTCCGGGGCTCTGCCTCTCCCTCAAACCTTGTCTCCTTCTGTGTGTCTGGCTTTTGAAAAACATGCCCTGGACTTTGTGTTCCCCATCTCGCCCAGTGTCAGGGAAAAGTGGGCAGAAGGAGAGAATGGAGAATGTTCACGGAGAAGAAGAACCCGAGTGACCACACAGGCTGTCGCCCACCACAGTGGCATGAGAATCATGCGTAGAGTGTCTTCAGGACCCTGAGGGCACATGTGGCCTCTCCTGTCTCACTGCCCCGGCTTGGGGCCGGGGCCAGACGCCCAGGTTCCAGCTGCCCTGTCTCACACCAGGTAATGCTCCAAACCCAGCTTCCTGAGGGAAGGTACAGTAATGTCATGAAATGAATCAGGTCCAAATAATTTGCTTTCCAGGAGTAACTGAAGTAGAATGATCTACAGGTGGGGATGCCAAGGTTCATGCAAACATTGTTTACACGAAAGCTTTATCTCTAGAATACAAATATTGTCAGGTGGTAAAAAAAAAAAAAAGTATAACTCCTTCTCTACATTATTTTCCCCCAATATCCCCAGAAATTATGGATTATAATTTAATATAATACACACTATAACTTTATTTTTAAAAAAACATACCCTTTTCAAAGAGTCTGTTTTGCTCACTGAAGGGAATGTGGCTTTTTATTTCTCTGGGTCGCTACTTACCTATTTCAAGCACTTTCAGGACCAAAGGCCTTCCTCTGGCACTTGAACAGCTGGGTTTAATTTGGGTTTTGATGCTGGAATAAGAATGGAGAGAGATGTCCTCGATTCTTTCCATTTCTGATTCTAAAAGAAGACAGTCTGGTTGATCTTTTATTAGCTGTCGGCTAGACAGCGCACTGCTTGGCTTTGGGTTAACAGCCCTGCAGAGGTGTCCCCACACCTGCCTCTCAGATAAAGAAAGTGTGAAAGTGTTAGTCGCTCAGTCGTGTCCAACTCTTTGGGACCCCATGGACTGTGGCCTTCCAGACTTCTCTGTCCATGGAATTCTCTAGGCAAGAATATTGAAGTAGATTGCCATTTCCTTCTCCAGGGGATTTTCCCGATGCAGGAATCGAACCCCAGTCTCCTGAATTGCAGGCAGATTCTTTACCAACTGAGCCACTCAAGAAAGTCCCAGTACGTCTGGCCTTTGTCAGCAGAGTGCCTTAGATACCCTGGGTAAAGCCACTAACAGCAAGGGCTGCAGTCAGATGTCCTGGAGGGCTGGCCCAGGCCCCAGATGGCCAGGAAGAACACAGGCACATTAGTGGGACTGGCCAGTGCTGGCTGAACTCAGAGTCCATTCTCCATGCATTTCCCACTTGATGAATAGACAGTTTTTGGTTCTATGCATTTTTGTGGGTTGCTGGAGGATTTCTGTAGCAAATATTTAACATGGAGCAAGCTGGGCTTCTCTGAAACCAAGTAGGTTTTTGAACTGCTTGTTTCAGTTGCTGTGAACTCAGGAAATGGCTGTTGGTTTTATCCCCAGCAGAACTTAATGAGAGAGGAAGTTTGTTGCCATAACATGCAAGCTTCATGTCAAGGTCAAATCAAAATTATTTTTTGTATTACTCACTGTTTGGGTTACTTATGTTTTCCGAGTTGGTATTTTAGTAGCCCTGTAACAAGGAGTAGGTGGCACTGACTATCCTTATTGTTGGAACTGGTTAAATTTTGTCACCTACTTATTATCAGATCCTTGACAATAATCTGGAAGTTTCCAGATAAGGTGGGGTGAGAGGACTAAAACCACCATGGGGAATGCTGGCAGAAATCATTGCAGGCTGCAGCAGGAAGAATGGAATTTAATAGACTACACTTATTTTCTCCCATGGATGGTAAAGTTGTTAAAAAAAAAAAAAAACCCAGCCCTGCCTTGCCTAACACCATAGACCTGTAATTATAGCTGGTATTTTTGAGCCACTCCTATGCCAGATTTTTTACATACAGTTAATCCTCACAGAAAACCAGCAAAAGAAGCATAATGATCCATATTTTACAGATGAGGAGACTGAGGTTCTGAGTGGTTAAGTGACCTGTTTAAGGTTACAGAGCTAATAAGTGGCTAATTCTAGTAAGAATCTGGATTAGCCCAACACTGGAGTACACGACTGACTGTTTTTAAAAAAATTATTTGGCTGCCTTAGATCTTGGTGCAGCAAGTGGGACCTAGTTCCATGACCAAGAATCGAACCCAGGCCTCCTGCATTGAGAGTGTAGAGTCTTAGCCACTGAACCACTAGGCAAGTCCCCATGACAGACTATTTTTAAAGTAGAGACTAGAGTTACACACTCTAGTTAATTTAAGGCCAGTTAATTTAGCAAGGGCTTCCCAGGTGGCTCTAGTGGTAAAGAATCCACCTGGCAATGCACGAGACATAAGAGACGTGGGTTTGATCCCTGGTTTGGGAAGATCCCCTGGAGGAGGGCACAGTAACCCACTCCAGTATTCTTG